TGTCCTGCCATTTTACATAACGGACAATTTTCTTTTATTTTTCCATATTGCACTACTTTTTTCAACGGTTTCCACTCTTTATCCTGCGACGTGTAAAGAGAAGTGTCTGGCAATGCTTGGATCTCTTTTGTCCTTTTAAAATGACTTTCATATAATTGTAAGGTATCTTTGTTGAATTTTTTCAACACAATGTGCGCGAAAATCACATCAACTTCTTCTGTTAAATGTGACTTTAATTTAATTAAATGTATTGACTCGTTTATAGAATCAGAAAACCATTTATTATGTTTCGCTGAATCGTGATCTAGCATTGGTAAGTCTAGTAAACGATTCAGCTGATCCGCAAAAATTTTTCGCTTATTTTCATACCGCTTGGTCAGCATACACTTTACTGAGGGTGTCTATTTGAGTACATGCTTACATTAGTTTTATTTTAGTACCGCATTTGTTAAGTGTTTTCTCCACTTGTGTTTTGTTGTCGTATTAATGGGTTACAGATCTCTGTTTACAGCCGTGAAGTCATAACTTGTCTACTTTATGTGATTTCTTTAGAGATCGGTGTTGTTACATGAGTGAATGTGTACAATAATCTATTAATGTTTAGACATGCAAGGGGCCGATAGTGGCATTGTATTGACGATAATATGTTCATGTTTGAACAATCAGTTAAAAAAATCAATTTGGCAAAAAAATGGAAATTTCTCGAGAGGGTTTTCGTTCGATTATTTTTCACAACTTTCGACGTGGATTATCCCAACAAGAATGTGTTGATGAACTTAGTTCTTTATATGCCGAGAAAGCACCAGGCTCGCGTCGATTGGAGTAAGGAAATGCTTAAAAAGTTCGACCGAGGTGCTTCAAAAGATGTTTATAAAATCGTGACAGGTGATGAATCATGGATATATGCGTATGAGCCGGAAACTAAACAGCAATCGACCGTGTGGGTGTTTCAAGATGAGCAAAATCCAACAAAAGTTGTTCGAGCACGAAGCACTTCGAAGCAAATGGTCGCCTGTTTCTTCGGGAGAATGGGTCATGTGGCCACTGTTCTGCTAGAGAAACGTAGGACTGTCAATTTTGAGTGGTACACGACCATTTGTTTGCCGGAAGTCTTCGGAGAAATTCGCAAAACCAACTGCCGAGCACGAATCATTCTCCATCATGACAATGCGAGCTCGCACACATCTCGACAAACAGGTGAATTTTTAAGCAGTCAAAACGTCGAATTGATGACTCATCCTCCCTACAGTCCTGACTTGGCACCCAATGACTTCTTTTTATTCCCTAACATCAAAAAAAAACTGCGTGGTCAACGCCGAAGAAGCCGTTGAAGAGTTTAACAACCATGTTTTGGAGGTGTCTCAAGAGGAGTGGAAAAACTGCTATGACCAATGGTTCAAGCGAATGCAAAAGTGTATTGATCATCAGGGGGAATATTTTGAAAAACAATAAAACCATTTTCATTTAAAAATTGTTGTTCTTATTTCCTATTCCCGAAATATAAATAGCGCCCACGGGCGTTATGACACCAATTTTTGTGACATAAGGCCCGCGGGCATTATTTGGTTACTCTACCCTTAATAGTCTCTGAGATTTGTGGATGCCCCAGATTTTCGTCCTTTTCGGTGGCGGAAGGGGTTACGGCGAAATTTTGAAACAAACTTGTCAAGGTCCGAATACTTACGCATTTCCCCTTAAATCTCCACAAAAAGGGTATGCCCCTCAATTTTTATACCCGATACTCAAAATGAGTATTGGGGTATATTAGATTTGTGGTAAAAGTGTGTGTAACGTCCAAAAGTAATCGTTTCCGATCCCATAAAGAGAAAACTAAAAACGAAGAATCGTAGAAGATGACTATATCTTCTAGAGTGCAAAATCTGAGCCAGATCGTATAATTATTATAGCCAGAATCAAGAAAACAATTTCATTCTTTCTCGCTCTGTCTCTCTCTAACACACAGGTTTCATGGTCGGTTTTGCCAATTGCAAAATATGAGTTCAAGGATCTCAGAACCTATAAGAGCCAGAGCAACCAAATTTGGTATCCACACTCCTGTGATATCGGACCTTGACCATTTTGTGTCAAAATTTGCCACACCCCCTTCCTTTCATAGATAATGACCACATATATCAGATTGCTGAATCTGGATCAGATCAGATAATTTTTATAGCGAAAAGGAAAAAATCAATTTGCAGTGATTTTCTGTCTCTCTCGCACGCACTCTTTTGTCGTGTCGTTTAATATTAGCGGGGTCTGCCGGAGGAGAGCCATACTGACTTAGTATCGGGCATAAATGTAGAGTTGCGGTCTCCGCAGCAACTCACAACGTTCCCCCTCTTTTTTTGTTTTTTTTGATAGATTGTATAATTAAGTGAGAAAGAAAAAAAAACAATAATTTAAATTCGAAGAGATCCTTTTCCTTAAAAGATTTTAATTTGTTAAAACAAAAGTCCATGAATCCACTTTGCACGTTTCAAATTTGTATCCTTTAATAATTTATAAAAAATAATTATTTTTTTCCAAAGGGCCTCGCTTTTATCACATTCCGAATAAGTTTTGGCATACTCTCGTTTAAATTTAGTATGAGCATGCAAGGTATCATGCGCCACTCCGACTGCACGCGCTCCCAAGAACTCATCCAGTCCCTTTGGTTTAGACTCGTACTTTTCCAATGTTTTTAAGCCCATCGATTTTCAATGGGATTTAGATCTGGGCTAATGAGCAAGTAACTGGATTAAGTAAAGAATCGAATTATTGGGACAATTTTTCACGAATTTAGCCGTGTGCGTCAGGTTACCGTCTTGCTAGAAAGTGATCTCGGATATGGGGTAGACAAATAAATAAAATTTGACAAATTGGTTCCCAAAATATTAAGATAATATTCTTTCTTCATTATTCCATCGATTTTAACCACAGATTTTCGCAGAATTTTAGAGAATGACTATATCTTCTAGACTGCAGAACCTGAACCAGATCGTATCATTATTATAGCCATTTTGAAGAAAACAATTTCATTTTCTCTCGCTCTGTCTATATCTAACACACACGTTTCATGGCCGGCTTTGCATATTGCTAAAGTGAGCGCATAGATCTCAGAGACTATAAGAGCTAGAGAAACCAAATTTGGTATTCACAGTCCTGAGATATCGAACCTGCACAAGTGGATTTCCAAATTGCGACCCCACAGTGAACGAAAATCTGTGGCATCCACCATTTTGAAGATACGAGAAAACCCAAGACGTGAACTATAGAGCCCATTCTACCAGATTGCCGATTCTGGATAAGACCTAATTATTGTAACCATAACAAAAAAATCAATTTGCATTGGCTACGCAACTCCGTCTATGCACTTACTCGTTCTCTCTCCCTCACACTGAGTATCGGGTATAAGTGCAGAGCCGTACGCCTAGCTGCTACTTGCAACGTGCAAAACGCGCGCCCAAGAAGCCCCTCCCCTTGGTAACGGGACCTTGGCGGACTGCGTCCGATTTCTCTGGCTAAGACGCCTTTGCAAAGTGAAGCTTGCTGGCACGTTACGTGACTGTATTGCCGCTCCAATCGCTGAGCGCAGCTTAGCTCGGCTTGCATAGATAAGCAAGCATAAAACATAAATATCGAAGAGCGAGGTTTGAGAGAACGGTTGGCAGAGCAAGCACGTGCAAAGCTTTAATAAATATTGGAATATTTGGCAAGCATCTAATCGGCGGGGTTCTGCTCCGAACACATCGAATCCTGGATCCAGTTGCATCATTGCCTCATATTGGAGAAATTTGAAAATTTGTTGCTAACTGTGATCAATTTGAGCGCAGTTCATTTTGTTGCCGTTTGCCAAAAGTCGAATTGCGACTTTATTTGGATGCCACTTTATTTTTTTTTATCAATAACGCAGACTTTGACGGCCCAATCAGCCTGTGTTGATTTTTATCTGATCATTCTTACATACTAGCACAACGATATCACATTTAATAAGTTTTTACTAAATTTGATTAACGATTTTATTAGTTCATTAGCGTGATCCACTCAAAATCTAAATTAATAACTTTGTACAATTATCAACTTTATTTGGAACTTACGACTTGATATTTCGTTACTAGAGATTAAAAGCTGATAATAAATAAATGCATGACAAAACCTAAAAAATATTCGTAACCCCAAGAAAAAGTATTAGTATAAGTAGATCTGATAGCAGGGATTTTTTGTTCTGTTAAATTAGGTCTTTATTAAATGTCATGAATTTTAATAATAAACTTACGAACAAACAATCTAGAATACAGTATAAGTACACATTTTAAAATTAACTGTTTACAAAAATCATTTCCAAACTAATATTAGATTCAAATTTGGCCTTATTTAATAAAAGCCACAATTTATGATTACTTGGAAGCTTATTGTTAAAAACTATACAACGCATAACGCGCATTATAATTAACCGCAGTTATTGAGCATACCAGTCAAACTTCTCCAACTCGAACGACAATCAGTGCAAAATAATTAATTTTTTTTCATATTGTTGAAGCTAAAAAATAAAGCTGTCATACTTAAAACTCAACAAAGTTTATTAATATATTTACCCAGCTTAGTAAATAAAGATTTAAATTTGGATAATGAAATGCACTGCCCAATATTTAAGTTTCAGTATTGCAAAAATCCATATTTTTCTCTAAAAGCAACGCCATTGTCACTCAATATAGTTCGAGCTTCAAAAAATTCGTCTTAGGGAAGTTCTGGCTAGAATGTTCAAGAATATTTGTATTTGTTCGGTTCTGCATATTTATTATTTGCTATGCATATTTTGTTAGCCAAAATTTGATAGCATTCAGGAGAATTATTTCTCCTGCATTCTTTATAAATTATTGCACCTATAAAATTTGTTTGTTTTGTAAATATGAATCTAATCTTCCGTAATAAATGAAATGGAGACAGTTTGAGCATGACCAATGACATATAAAATATACACAAAATATACGCGGTCAAAAGTAGCTCATTAAAAATAAAAATATACTTAAAATTGGTATATTTGCGTGTAATGTATTTTACAAATATATTTTATATAAATACCGCGGGGAGTACACTTAATTTTTTTATTTTTAGGAATATAAGTATTAAATGAAGAACGTACGTTTCCTCAATTTATTGCAAAATGAGATGTCGTTTTCTATAAATACGGTTAATTGCATGCGACTTAATATACAATAAACCTTTTAAACCTAAATTCAAGTATTAATATATTTTATATCTTTTACGTTTTCTGGTAGAAGACAGAAAAACTAACATTGATCTAAGACTATTATAAACTAACTTAATTGGTTTTTTTACTGCTTTCATCACATGCAGCAAAAATTAAAATTGGTACACTTTTTACTTATCAAAAATATTATCTACGGTTTTTATACAATAAATAAGTTTTCATCGACAGTGGAAGTTGAAGTTGTTGTATACGTTCTTCCAAGTTTGCGCGTCCAATTTTTTGTCGAATAGTCCTTCGGCAAAGATCCATTAGGGGCAAGGGTTCAGCTTAAATAAAAAAATAATTTATTTTTATTATTTAGAAACCCGTTCTTAATACCAAAAGTATTCACTTTCTTACGCAACTACAAAAATACCCTCGATGGCCCGCGATTTACCAAGAATTAATGTGCAAAAACTATGACTCCAATGTGTGCTTATTAGTAGCTACAGCTACTTCTAATATTTACACGGATAACAGTATCAAAAGCAAGAGCATTTACACCCCTTACTGAGTTAGTGTATAGTTAGTGCTTTTTTGACTTCTGTTTTTTTTTCTCCATTCTCACCACGACACCAGCCGTTTTTTCTCCTTCCCCTCCGCCAGAGCACACTACGCACGCTACACGCGTGTGTGATAGAGTCAAGCACTGCAATTTAATTTGTTCCTTCTGGTTACCATAATGATCTAGTCCTGGTTCGGCGTTTTGATAGAGATGGTCAGTTTCTACGATTCTACGTTTTCGGGTTTCTTGTACCTTAAAAATTATTGATGTCACAGATTTTTGGGCTTTGTGAGTCGAAAAATTTTGAATCATGTTCAGTGTGATATCTCAAAATTTTTTTGCTCTAGCTTTAAGTCTCTGAGAATTATTGCGCGTCAAACGAGACGGATGGACAGATGGACAGACAGAAAAAAGTGCCCAATATGTGGTTTCCCATCATACCCAAACAAATTGAACTTAGTTTCGTCTGACTACAATACATTTTTCCATTTTTGACATGAACTATGCGGCCTTATTGCAGTACGGCAACTGATCATTTTTAAGATCTTCCGATTAAAGAAAGGGGCTTATTTATCTTCGAACAAAAACGTTGTAGAACTTCTCCGATACTGCGCGCGTTTTACCGTATTTATGTGGTTTATCGTCGAAAACACTGTTTTTTTTTTAATTTCTATATTTTTTTTGTAGGCTTAAAAACTATTTTTTTGGTACATGAAGATTTTTTTCTTATTTTTTTTGTTATATTTTGATATATTACTAAATACACCAACCTTCAATAAAAACTATAAAACTTAAAAAAATATTCACTGGAGAAAAGGTTCTTGTCTTTATCCCTTGACAAATTGAGATTTGTACGCCATAAGAGCACGAAAATAATGGTCGACAGTTTCGGGGTGTCCGAAAACAAAACCTCACATTTACGGACACAGAGAGGAGACAGAACAGGCCCGATAAAATCTGTTTTTGCTCAACTCGCTCAAGCAAAGACCGACTTTTACACTTATCTTTTGTTAATGTTGTTCACTGAGCGAAATGTTCTGCGTATTTATGCGTGCTTGTGAGTGTGTTGCTTATAGGAACGATCACTTGCCCATGTGAATGAAAAACGTTCCTATTAACTATTGTTATGGGGCGTAATGCAGTTGAATTTCATCGTTATCATCACGTCTTTTCCATCATCTCTCATCAATTTGCAGAAAATTTGCAAAATATATAAAATATATTGGGCGTTTGATCAAAAGTATCCCTTTGAGTTGTTTTTTGGGGGACACGATCGTGTGGCATGTGTTTCTCATAGTTTCTTCCAACGAGAAAACACGCGTCCAAAGTCGCGAGTTGGATTCGCTGGCGCACAATCATAGATTTCAACTTTGAAGTTATGTTGCATGTTTGTATGCTATGTTAAAGCTTATTAATTAATATACATATGCACCAATTAAAATTTAAAGGTTATAAAGAAAAATAAAAGAGATCTACATTTTGTTTTTTTTTTTTATTTTCGTGTCAATAAGCGGCATAGCGTCATATATCCGCCCAGTACATTTTGCCGGCGGAATTTTTTCGCTTTTTTTTTTTTTGAGAACTTATTTCGTTTGAAAGCGTCATATCTCCGCTCGGAGACACGGCGGAGTTATGTCGTTTCATATCGTCATATCTCCGCGCGGAGGTATGTCGCTTTAAAACGACATCATTTCGCGCGGAGATATGTCGTTTGTAGAACGGCGGAGATATGTCGCTACCCCTCAACAAGCGTCATGCGAAAATTTGTTTTGTGATGGAATAGATGATAATACTGCCAAAGTTGCGACTTTTTATATTTTTCTTGCATCTACATATACGATTTAGTGCTGGTAGTTGTACCAAACAATTTTTATGTATGCTAGTGCATATAGAAGCATAATTTGACCGATAGATAGGGTGGTATTAATTACATATAGGCAAATTGCTTAACAACCGAGCTACTATTTCGCACGGAAACACATATAATTTTACGATCGGACATAACTATATGGCCGTTGTTACAGATCAATAATTAATAATATTTAATTTGCAAGTGATTATAAATCAACCGAAAATCGAACCGAATTAAATGACATGCTACTATATATTTGAACTATACTTACGATCTAATCCGCCTATATAGCGCATAGTAATCTCGCAGTGTCCCCAAACCGCTGAAACAACTGGATACAGCTTTTTTCCTTTCAGCCCTCTAAACGCAATACCTAGATATTGCTGATCAACAATAAAACTCAAGGTTCCTTCATCCATATCTAAGGCTACTAAGAACTTGTCTGGAACCAAAAAAGCTTCGTCGTTTTTCAAAATGGCTGGATATGTGACACCAGCACAATTTTTTGAATCGTGGTACAATTTGTTTCTACCTAAGTCCCAGCCCCAGCTCTGTTCAGTAGATCCAACTAAACTTTGATATCCAACTGAGTGTAGGGGTGCGTCAGCAGTGGACACGCCAACAACTGCATGTGTTCCTCTTTGTCTTGTTGGCCAATAAATTTCCCAAATGTGCAATCCCTTTGTGAGGCCGACTTTTCCACGAATGCAATCTGTACTCTGGGCGACTGGATGCCTGTGAAACGTCAACTTGTCGTCTTCTTTCACAAATATGTTTAACGACCTGTCTTCCGAGTTCCAAGAATGTTTCAGTTGAAGCTCTCGAATCGCTGGTGGCATATCAAGCAAAATATCAATGCGCGCTGGTTTTAAAAAATCAGCTTGTAGCTCCCTTGGTATAATTGGTTTAAAAGTAGCCTGTGAATCATTACGACTAACTGTTTTAACTCCACCACTAATTTTTTGACCCATGTTCATGCCACGGCAGCTTCTTGATCTTCTTTGGTCGATTGCAACTTTGTAGGATAGTCGAAGACGCTCAAAATCCCTAGGTTCCAATCTGGACAATACAACTCTCGGAGATAATGTGGATAATGATGAAATACTTTGAGGGCGTCGCCTTTCACTGGACCTTATTGAAGGTGTCCGACCACCCTTATACCTGAAATTAATCAAAATAGTTATCATCTTCCATTAATTTGTTGTTTGACTTTTGATTTAATTCGTACATCTATACAGAAATATATTGGTTAACTATGTATTTACCTCCATTAATCGTAATATGTACATACATATATATGTTCGTGCATAAATGATTGCATATGCATATATGTACATACATACATACATATGTACATAACCATAAGACTATGAGCCTGAAAACAAACTTACAAAAGCGATGCAAGTAAAAATATGTATGTATAAGACTAAATATTTTATCAATACACACCACAAGACGTAACAATTGTTTCTACAGATTAGGTATCATCTGTGTGTACCTCATTTTTACCTTTTTTTTCCAAGTTCCATCTATAAATGAATGAATTTAAAGTCGAACAAAATGGCGTCGGCGACGATATACTAATTATTCAACACAATTAGTTGTTTATAGTACATTTCCATTATTTGAAAATGAATCAAATCACATAAACATAAATGTTCAAAAATAAAACACAGTACATATAAATAATTCAAGTCTTCATGTGATATTGTTTCAGTGAAAACGAAAAAAAATCAGCGATTCCTCAACATAAGACCATCGCCAACTACCACATGAGCTATCAAGGTTGAAAGAAAACAGGGTGTTCCCAGTAGAAGTCATAATATAATTCGAAAGGGTGGTTGCACGATACGATTGCCAAAACAGATTATTTGGAACAATGGAAGGAACATTTAACTTTGCAATTTACAACAAAAAATCAATTCAAAGTGTAATTTTTCATATAATTTTTTAATGATATTGATTTATTTACGATTAGGATGTCAAGCAGAGATATAACTTTTACGAACAGAAAAATACATCGACAATAAGACTATATTCCACTAATTATTATTTCGGAGTATTTATAGTTTCTTTGCTCCTGCGCTGCCGTATTCCATATTAGAGAATATGGATATAATAATTAACTAATGTAGTATTATTTTGGTTATCATATATGTACAAGTACATGTCCGATGTAAAATCAAATCTTGTTGAATTATTAAAAAAATTGATTTTTTACTATTTATAATTTGTATATAATTTTACTAAAAATACTGGGTAGAAGTTACCAGTTGAAACGTTTGGAAAAGAGAAACGTAAGTAACCAAGTAAGAGTAAGTATCCAGAACTCCAGATACAAATGTACATAATTCTGTAATCATCTGATTTCGGTAACTTATGCAACGGTCGCGATCTCCAGGACACCTTGATCCCTGATCAGTGATGGATTGCTTACGATATTTATGTTGGGTTGGCCGTCAGCCTTCGGGTGCTACAGGGGGATAAACGGATGTCCGGTCGGCTCGTCACAACTGTAGACTCGGAACGGGGCACGGGCGCCTCGGGTTCACGGCTTGCCCTGGATCCAAGGTGACTGTGCTCCGCGTCATAGGATACAGGTAGGCACGAGCGAACCGGCACCCGCCGTAACTGTGTCGGAAGTGCGACTATACTCTCCCCGAGAGGGCGGCTGGAAACAGGTCCTGGTACGGTCATGACTCTGCCAGGATGCTGGCTAATTGTAGTCGGGCGGAGGGAGAAGCCTCCTTCTCGAACCACAGGTACGTGGAAACCGTATTCTCTTTTTCACTACCGCGACCAGCTCAATTCCGGAACCTCAGGCGGACAAACTGGACTCGGTACTCAGACCACCTATGTCGTGTTCTTCCTGAGACTCCACCTGAGGAGGGGATTTAAAGGGAGGTCACGACTCATCTCGTTAAAACATTTACAGACGTCTACAATGAGGCGCTCGATAAATCCTGCCCCTCTGGCAAGTGCAGAGGCCGGAAGAAACCTGAATGGTGGAATCCCAAACTGAACTCCGAAAAGCCTCCCGGAGACTCTTCAATAAAGCTAAGGCTGAAAACGATGAGCAGAACTGGGCCGATTACAAGGCCAGTCTGTCAATTTACAATAAAGAACTGAGGAAAGCCAAACGCGCCTCATGGCGTAAGTTCTGTAGCGACATTGAGAATAACTCAGAAGCCTCGCGCTTGCGCAAAGTTCTCTCGAAGACTACACCCACTCTGGGCTACCTGAAGAATGCTGACCAATCATGGACAACGTCCAGCAATGAATCGCTAAATCTTCTCCTTAACACCCACTGGTTGTGCTAAATAGCCTGCCGTTAGGCACGATTTCTGAGGGTTTAATTAGACACTGGAATCAGACAGACCGACAGATCAAACTTGTGACCTCAATCGACTTTCAATTATAAGTGAGTTTATTCTAAAGCGGCGCCCTCTTCATGAGCGGCTGCTGCTTGCATAGGCTCCGTTCGCAACATGGTATAAGAGCGCACGACATTACAATTTAAGAGCGTGATTTCATACATGTCTCTTAGGTATTGTTGCGTGACCTTCCATCCATGGCCACAATTATTAGTTATTGATCTGAATTATGAAGTCTAGTGTAAGTTAGGCTAGGGCAAAGCGGGAGCGATAAAGCCAGGAAAGTAGCAGTTGGATTCAAAGATCCAAAAGAGGAATCAGAGGTATTTGTGCAGAAAATTGAAGGCTGAGCAAAAGACATTCAGATCTCTCTTTGAGGTGTCTTGTGCTGAAAACATTGCACATCGCCTTCAATTCTAGGCACAGACGTATAATATACATATAGTAGAGCTTGATTGCATGCATTTTATTAGTAATTGCATAAATATAACTAAAAACATAAATACATACATACATATCGACACAAACAGACATATGTGAACCGCTATTTGGACGCAACAGTTATATGTACATACATACATACATCTTTCGTTTACTGCAATCACTGTCGCCCCCCCCCCCCCCCCCCATTTTATTTTGTTCTACCTTTCTCGTCGTTAGAACCTCACAAAGTTTGTTCGTTCGTTCACCCAAGCCACGGCGTATAGAAAATATCCACACATACATACAAGCAGCAGCACCGGTGCATTATTTCGTTTTCGCTTCTCCACTGCTGCTTGCGTTGTATTTGTTGGGAGAATTTTCGTTGCCGCTCTTGAGCTTAACGGTGCGCCAAGTGACGCGCTACCCTGTATCTAACGGGTATATTGTTTTCGGCTGTTACTTGCCAAGTGACGCGCTACCCTGTATCTGACGGGTATATTGTTTTGGCTGTTACTTGCCAAGTGACGCGCTACCCTGTATCTAACGGGTATATTTTTTTCGGTTGTTACTTGCAACAACTCTTTCCCTTGATACCTCGTGCCTCGACATTCAATTAAAATTCGTTTTCGATTATCGTTCTCGTTCAAAAATTAAAAAAAAAAAAATAATAATAATAAATAAATAAATAGAAACACAACCATTATGGCAGAAAAAAGTAAACCCACTCTTGAAGACTTAAAGATTAAGCTCAAAAGTCGAGTAAAAAGCATTCGCCGCTTAGAGGATCGATTAGATCAAGGGTCGATTCCTTTGCAATTACCGGAATTACAATGTAGATTAGATTGTTTGAATGCTTCAATTGAAAAGGCTAACCATTTGCAGGAGCAAATCGAGGACAAAAGAGGTGATGATGCATATGCAGCCGAGTTGGAAGAGCTGATAATTGTCACCAAAGGAAAGATAATGTCGCTTATCGCCGCCTTTGATGCAGCAAGCGAGACGAAGCCAGTGTCTTCTTCAGCCCCAACTCATGCTAGACTTCCGAAATTGGCATTACCCAAATTTAGTGGTAAACACTCGGAATTCAAAAATTTCATTAGCCTTTTTGAAAGACTAGTCCATAGCGACAACAGCATACCGGTGATCGAAAAATTTAATCATTTGATTTCGTGCCTCTCTGATGAAGCATTAGGAACAATAAAGGCGTTCCAAGTCACCGAGGTAAATTATGAAAATGCCATGGCTGGCCTAAAAAGAGTATATGACAACGATTATTTGATTTTCACGAATAATATTTCCACATTGTTCAATCTGCCGAGAATGTCGCATCAATCTGCATCATCTCTAAGAACTCTAATCGATACTGTTTCGTCGATTTACGGATCGTTACTGTCGATCGGAGATGATACAAAAATTTCGAATGCAATGCTCATTCATCTCGTTTTAAACAGAGTCGACCCAGTGACGAAACAAAAGTGGGATGAACAGCTTACTTATGAGAAGTTGCCGCTTTGGTCCGACTTTGAGAAAGTCTTGAATCGTCGATACCAGCATCTGTCTGCTGAAGAATCGACCAAGCCAAGGCAAGACAAAGTCATGCCAAGCAAGCAACATAATCGCAGTTCATTTGCTTGTTCTTCCACTTCCACCAACAGTAGAACTCAGCAAACTTGTAGCTACTGCAATTCAGGAGACCATGTAGTGTCAAATTGCCCTTAATTTTCGCGTCTCTCGGTGATGCAAAGGTTTGAGTTTGCTAAGTCGGCATCCCTATGCATTAATTGTCTGCGAAAAGGCCACGCTGTTGTAAAATGCAAAGCCAATAAATGTCGAGTGTGCAGCCGCTCACATCATACATTATTGCATCGATACACAGTGTCGGCTAATAGTCTCGCGTTGCCACCACCCCAAGAGAGTCCTTCTCCTCCATCAAATCAGAATCAACTTTCCACGTCACATGTTTTGCATGCGACAGCGTTGGACAGGGTAATTCTGTCCAAGAGCGGTTCTAAGAGCGGTGAACACATTCTGGCCAGAGCTCTGCTCGACTCTGGATCACAAACAAATTTTATTACCGAGGACCTCGCTAATCGCTTACAGATCCGTAGAAAGGAGTCCTGTATTAACTTGCTTGGAATTGGTGAATCTAATTCTCAAGTAAAGGATAAAATACACACAGTGGTGAAGTCGCGAACAAATGGTAGTGAGTTCTCCTTTGATTTTTGGATCCTGAAATCAATTTCAGGTTATCACCCTGACCAGTCAGTGAATGTGACTGACTGGCGAATCCCAGAGAACCTACCTGGCAGACCCTTATTTCTACAAGCCACAAAGAATAGATATGTTAATTGGAGCAGAATCGTTCTTTGAATTATTAGCTGTTGGTCAAATTAAACAAGGTCCTGACTTTCCAACTCTTCAGAAAACCCTTCTTGGTTGGGTTGTGTCGGGAAAATAAGTTTCCAGGAATTCTGCTCCTCAAATTACAAACAGTTTGAGTTGCAGTAAGGAGTTGCTAGTATCCATCGATAGGACCTTGAAAAAGTTTTGGTCACTGGAAGAAATGCCATCTACCAAGAAAATTGCCACACCTGCGCACAAGCTATGTGAAGAACACTATCGTAAGACGACTCAGGTACTATCATCAGGTCGGTTCGAAGTAAGGCTCCCGTTTAAATCAGATCCAAATTGTTTAGGCAACTCCTTTGAGGTTGCGAAACGGCGGTTTTTGTCGCTTGAAAGACGATTGCATCGTGACCCTGAGTAGAAGAAAATGTAC